CTTTTTGGAGTATTTTAATTTTGAGTTATCAATCTTCTTTTTTTGAAAACTTTATCGAATATTACAATATCTCATTTACTATTTATTTTATACATATTAAAATTCTTTATTGAATAAAAGTATTCGATTTCGTTATTGTGCGATAATAATTTATATAAATAATGATACCGAAATAATTCATGTACATGCGTGTACATTGTTCACTGTGACATAAATGTTACTTTAATAATAATTACTATCGTTAATCGTGTAGCTTATTGTACGTATAGTTTAAGTCAACGCGTTGTATTGTAAATAATGAAATGCATAATTAATCGATTAATTAATAAAGACGAGATGAATGAAGTTTAAGTCTGAAGGACGATTTTGCATTTCGCAAAATAACAATCTTATGCTTTGAACCAACCATTCATTAAAAGGTAAGTAAGAATATTTTACAATTATTAAGATTGCACAATTATTAACATCAAACTTACTGAAAGCTTATTTGTAGAAAATGATATTATAATTAAGACGAATATTTATTCCTTTAGAAACTGATTTCTATATTCTTTCTTCTCTCTCTCTCTCTCTCTCTCTCTCTCTCTCGCTCTTTCTCTTTTCTTTCTTCTCTCCTTCCACTCTTCCTCTCTTTCGCGCGCGCGCGCGCTTTGTCTTCATAACGATATTTGTGGAAAAATAGTTTTTTAATCCGCTCAAAGCCGCTCCAAAATCCAGCTTATTAAGCTAACAGCTCGTTATGAGAAACTTCCGGAAATCTCAGGATTAGGACTCAGCTGGTTAATTCTCTACAGCTCGTTTTTCGAAAAGATGATCGCGATTAAATGTATTCTCGACTCGTTAAATTAAACGTCGGTTACAGAAAGACTCGGATCAGTAAAGATTTTCCGTCTCGATCGGAGAATTTCGCGCGAAAGACATAAATTAAGGGATATCCAAGACGGATCTGCCTGCCGTTCGGTTAATGAAACTTGCAGCGGAGATTTCCTGGCGCAATCCCGGATTGATGCCAGTAGCAGCGGCTCGTCTTCGCCCTTCATACATACTAATACGGCACGTATTCGCGACAATCAGATACTCAACCGCTGCTACTTTCTCCTAGCTTTATCATTCCGTCTACCAGCTCCGCCAATTAATTATCTCCAACAAAGGATTCCCGTATCCCAATTGCTTGATCGTTTGCCAGCGCGGAAGAAGGAAGAGGTAGCGGCGGGAAGAAACGATTCGAGAGAAGGCACGATAAGGAAGAAACCGGAAGAGGACGGGGGGAGTAGGGTATTCCCTTCGTTACTTCCGACGAAGTTACATTGACTGCGCCAGGCTGGCTCCTGCCCACCCTGCGCGTCGCCCGGATGGTGTTTTACGATCTGCGTCCGTACAACGGATGTGCCAATCCTGTCTTAATTGCCTCCGATAAAAAAGAAGGCGTGGATACGTGCTCTGTACGACTACACGGCGAGAACACGACAACGAAACGACGACGACGACGGCGAAAGTTTCGCCGTAGTTCCGCCGTATTGATTTTCATGTAAAAATACGCGAATATCGCTCGCTCGTTGAATTATCGAGTGCCCGACGCCCGGAAGAAAGGAAGCCTCTTGAAGCTCGTTTCCGCGAGCCCTCTCTCGAAATGATTCGACAGGCCGGAATTAGTCATTCGATTAGCCCTTTGCCGCGCGCGCGAAACGGAAGCGTCGACGAAAATGTACCGTCTATAACAGTTATACAGGAAAATCGATTGAGGGGGGGGGAGAGGTGTTCAATTCGAGAATATCGGTCGGATAGGCTTATATTAGCTCACGGCGAAATGCAAAGTTTCTATAAGTTCAAGTTGAGCCACGAATCCTAAACTTAGTCGTTAGATCGATTTTGATTTTAACTTAATTAACGTGATAATCTGCTATAAATATGCTATATATATGTATATTACTATACATAACCAATACAGTCTATTTAAAATAGATTTTGCAGATCATTTTCTATGCTTCTTTACTTTTCTTAAATATTTATTTCAAGCTTTATCTTCAACAATAGATAACAACAGATTATCATAACATTTTATCATAAATCTATCATTTTATTCATGCTGAATTTGTCACATTTTTTAATTTAATTTTTATTAAATATCAATTTTATTTTTTCGTATTTAATGTTAAATTAATTTATTGAGAATAATTAAATAAATATTAATGATATGATATAATAATGTATGTAGTAGGTAAACGAAGAAATATGAATTAATGTAGTGATCATAATAAATTGATTATTTTTATCAAAATTTTTTTAACAAATTTTTAAAAAATATGATGCTAATATTTCGGTAAAGTCTGCTAAACTCCAACTTCCATTTATATTAATTAATTAATTCCAATATTTCTCTTTAGATCGTTGAAAAAATATTCGATGCAGAAATTAGAAAATAATTGATAATGACGTAATTAAATTATAAATTTAATTATAATTAAAAAGAATTTAATAAAAATTCGAAATAAAACACGGAGCAAGAAGAATATTAACATACTTCAGTTCTAAATACAAAAAAATTCAACGTTTTTTATTTTCTGTTACAAGGTAAATAAATAGATATCTAAAAAAAAAGAGACAAATTGAGAAAATTATAATATAAAGCTATGCACGTGTGTATGTGCGTGTGTCACAGAAAACGATCAGAATCATGTGATATGTCATTCCCATAGTATTTAGCAATTCTAAACCGTCTCTTTCCGTGTGTATGTATATGTATAAAACTTTATTTTACCTTTCCCTGGCAAAAATAAAAATCGGAGCGTAAGTAAGGCGTAAGTAAGCGTTCAAAAGTAAGGAGAAAGAGTGACAGAAGCGTAAACGAAACTTCCAGGAAGCGTAAATTGGAATAGTGAAACGTAAAAGAAGCGTTTTAAGAGCTAAATGCTTCTTTTACGTTTCACTATTTCAATTTATGTTTCCTAGAAGCTTCGTTTACCCTTCTGTTATTCTGCCCTTATATTCAATTAATATTTTTGCCAGGGCTGTAAGTTGCGAATATTAATTTGCAAGCTCAAAGTCGATAATGTTGGATAATTCCTCTTCTAGCATTTTCTTCTCGATTTCTATCTTCTCTCCGATCTGTATCTCTTCCCAGTCTTTATTTCTTTGTTAAATCTCTCTAACTATATTTCGTTAAGTTCTATTTACTATATAATAAAGATGCAATTTTTACATATGTTTTTTTGCTAAGCAAATGTGTGTTTTTTTTACAATAGATTCATCTCATTATTTTGTTTGAATATAAAAATATTAAGGTACAATTATATCACGAAATCAATAGTACGAACTATTTCATATTTTATGTCGAAATACGGCATGATAAAATTATATGATGTAAATCGAAAAGTATTGATTTTTCGATAATTTTACCTAATATTTTTATACGCAGAATAATTAAAGGAATTATATTATGTAAAAAGATCACATAATTCTATTTAAAAAAGTGGAGATGACCTTCATATCTTTTTAGTGTCTCCACCTAGAGAAAGATAGCAATGTGACCAAAATGTGTCTCACTCGAAACCCCTACAACTTTTTTATAAAACATTTTGTTGTACTCTCTAAATTTTTTGGAGTGACTTTTCAGTGAGATTCACTCCAAAAGAGTAAAAATTTTGCCACTCAAGTGGCCGAGTGGCAGTATTTTCTATCTTTTGGAGTGAGATTCACTCCAGAAAATTTAGAGAGTATTATTACTAATAATGAAGAAATTTGACTGATTAAAATAGATCACTCTGTATAATAACTTACAGTAGCATTCAATATTACATAGTACACTCAGAGAAATGTTTTGCTGTTCCAGCTAGAATTCTAAATATTACACTTAAATTACAACGCTGTTTTTTGTATCTGCCAAAAAATTGTCTGTCATACGTAGAATTTATAGTAGCAATATTCTAAGAATATATACAAGAAAATATAGGTCTCATAACCAAATATGATTAGAGTCTGGATTGGAGTCTGGATTGATTAAACGTCATACAAAAATTTTTTGCTAAACTTTCTTGCTAAATTTGACAAATACCTAGTTCAGATATAATTTCCGTCTCTATTATCTATATTATCTATATTGATTAAATACAAAACATATGTGGTATCGCAGTGCTTACTAATCACTTATCCGTTTTAGCTAATTTTTCGTATCTAAATAATTTTCGCTATAATTACAAGATTGATTTTTTCAGTGTAGTTAATTATATAAATCAAATTTATCGTATAAATAATTGACGATTTATCTCACAAATTACGACCACGTTAATTATTCCATTACAATTTTCATTATTTATTAACGCAACTTTTCATCATCAATCAAAATACTTATCATTACATGGAACCTCTAAGAACTCTAATTTGCTAAATTATGTAAAACACAACAAGCGTGTATAATTTAATTAAACCATACGTATAATATCTCGTAATTTGAAATAATACAATTTCCTAAATCTTTGTTTCAAGCAATCAAATGCATTTCCAACTGTAATACGATATGAGCTTAATTTTTGATTAAATTGTCTTTGCGCTTGAGTTAAATATCCAATATATATGTACGGGACGATTAAATATTTTAATCAGTATTGAAAGCGAAATGCAGAAATTATGCAATCTTGATGCATTATGTTCAAATAAATGAAATTTTTAGTTAGTTCCATCAGTTGCTTGGAGTCGTATAATAAACG